CTTGGTTGTTTGCTTGCAGACATTTCATTACCCAACTAGGTAACATCATCAGTGCAAGTAACTGTGGGGTTTGCTCCCTGTTCATATACAGTAGCTTGCCCTGCCAGCTTTGGTGGGAGTGTGGTTTTCTCCCGGGTAGTTCCTTGATTAGGGTATTGTTTTCTGCTTGATTGTTTGCCTGGTGTTAATCCCTTATCTGGGTGTTGGCTGCTGGAAAGGATATGTTCTGGTCTTTTTGTTTCCTTCTTAGCTTTTTTATTGTCTCTTGAATGGTGTGTAAATATGATTTATTTCTATATGTGCATTGATGGCTGTTTTGTCTGAATGCCAAGCTTCCAGAAATTCCCTAGCATTTTTGGATTTAGTTGATCTAGGATGCTCACAGTTTCCCAGTTGCAACTATGGTTGAGTCTATCCATGTGTTGTGAGATTAAGGAGTTTTCATTGTGTCTCCTGACTGCTAGTCAGGAAAAAACAACAACAATGAAATCACTTTGATCTATTCATGTCTCTTTAGCATCCTGTTTTCAAAATACTGCTCTGTCTCTCATTGCTGATCTTATCCTGTTTTTAAGAGGCTGTAATTTTACAATTTTTAATATTGTTTTGTACATCTGCATTGGCTTATTGTGTTATTATGTGCCATCAAGTTGTTGTTGACTCTTAGCCACCATATAGATAGATTTTCTTCATGACAATCTGTCCCTGGTCCCTAACCTGGTCTTCCAGTGGTACACTCATGTTCACTGTAACTGAGTCCATCCACCTTGCTGCTGGTCATTGTCTTCTTCTCAAATGGATATTTTATTATTAATAATGCAATGCCTTCTCTTAAATCTTTATAGCAGCTTTCTAACCATAGTCAAATCCTGCAGAAGTATCTTTGTTTACGTGGCATCTTGTCTTCCCCTCCTCTCTAAGCTTCCACCTTCCAGTTATCTTTCTGCCCCTTTATTTGAATATATTCTAACTTGTTATCTTTGCTTGCCAAGGTGAAAACTCCGATATCTTCCACTCCCTCAAATGATTGTTTCTTTGCTGCCTGACTAGAGCTATTTCTCAGAATATTCCTGTGGTAGTATTTCTCTATTTTTTGATATCTTGTTCCAAAATGACTTTTTTTTTTCCTGAAGCTCGTAGAAAAACATCTTGGTGCTAGTACCTTACCCTAACAAATCCCAAATAGTGAACATGTGATAAACATAGATAACAAATCCATATGAACAGTAATTTCATGTTCTGCTCCTTACCTGTTCATCTCTTGATATCACACCCCCTTTTCTATTGTGCCTACCTGGTTTCTGTTCTAGATGGTAAGTCTCTTGTGGTAGAGCTTTTTCATTCTTTCAAAATCAGACAAAATTAATAATAATAATAAAACCACCAGTAATATTGTAGCTGTGCTGCTTTGATAGCCTTTGAAACTGTATTGTCTTCTACATGTTCACCATTCAGTTTCTGAGACTTCTGAATTACAGGTAGTCCTCAACTTACGATCATTTGTTCAGCAACTGTTTGAAGTTATGATGGCACTGAGAAAAAGGACTTATGACCAGTCCCTGAAGTTACGGCTGTTGTGGTTCCCCCATAGTCAGGCAATCAAAATTGAGGCACTTAGCAGCCTGCCCACACTTTTGACTGCAGGGGCACTCCAACTCCTCCCACCCGCCTATCTCCCCCCCATCTATGTGCTTTTGGTTGCCCTGCACAGTGGCACTCCTCGGTGGTGGCAGCAGGCTGGGGCTGAAGTCTCAGCCAGCTGCCGCCACTCCCAGGCCTCTACTTCAGCCCCAGCACTGCTGCTGCACTAAGAAATGCGGCCTTCAAGTCCCACACCGCAGCCAAGCATGCTAGCACACAGCCCCAGTTGCTCCTGCTGCCCTGCGCTCCACAGGCTCTGCCACACCCAGCTGACTTTTGCCATCTTCCTCCCACTGCTGATGAGGCATGCTTCTAAGGTTTTCCAAAGCATCATGAGAACAATGTGCCTGCCGTTCTCCAAATAGCACGCCCTGTTCTCGCAATGCTTCAGAAAGCCTTTGGAAAGCTTCAGAGGTTTTCCAAAGCATTGTGAGAACAGCATACACTAACTGGAGAATGGTACATGTGATTTGGAGAATGAGGTGAGTGGCCTTGGGAAGAAGGCCTGGCATGGCCAGCAGCTGCCTTGCATAAGGCAGTCCAGGTGCACCTTGTCAGCAGTGGAAGGAAGATGGTGAAGATCAGCTGGGCATGGCAGGACCTGTGGAGTGCAGGATGGTGGGGAGGCTTAGGCTTTGCACTGTGGTGCTGGGGTGGCTGGTTGTGGCGCGGGCTTGAGGCAGCATTCCTCAGCAGTGGTACCAACTGCACTGGGACTGACATAGAGGCCTGGGGGCGGTGGTGGCTCCTGAGACTGCTGAAGGCCACAGGCCTCTAATTCAGCCCCAGTGCTGTCACCACTGCCGAAAAATGCCACTGTGTAGGGCAGCCAAAAGGACAGATATGGGGGGGGGAGGTAGGTGGGTGGGGGGAGTCGAAGAGGAGGCAGTCCCTTATGTTAACAAGGCTCTGAGCTGGGAGGGAGCAAGCCGGGAATGGCTCGGATCGGGGTTGTCCTCACCTAATGACCGGTACATCTTGGGGTTTTGACGGCAACCAGGATTGCTGTCACTAAGCGATGCGGTCATGTGATGTTGCACTTTATGACTGCATTGCTTAGCAACGGAAATTCCGGTCCCAGTTACCATTGTAAGCCGAGGACTACCTGTAGTTGAAACTCCATTATAAAATGTGTTGTTTTTATTTGACTGTTCTCTCTCGCTCTCGCTCACTCTCTCTCGCTCTCACTCTCTCTCACACACACACACACACACACACACACACAGGCAGGAGATATATATATATATATATCGCTATTCCCTTGTAGTGATTTAAAGTATTAATATATTGCATTATTTCGTACAGTGATTCTGGACGTGGCAGCAGTCTATTGGACAGAGCCATTGCTGACAGGCGACAGCTTAATACAATCACTCTCCCAGATTTCAGTGATCCTGAAACAGGTAAATATTAATTCTACTGTAATAAAGTGTCAGGCACAATATGTGTTTTCTGTTGCACACCATTGCAAGGTAGGATATAAACAGTTACATAGTAAATAGTTTTTTACATACAGTGTATTCTTAGAAGAAGCAGTCCATTTAGTATATCTGTTTATTTGTCCTTCACTTTTAAAGTCCCACATAGATCTCTCTGCCCAGAATTTCTGAATGATTAATTTCATTTTTAAAGCAAAATTGTTGCTATAAAGTAAGGGGAAGTAATTTAATTTCAGTATCTGTCAAAAAGGGCTTGACAGGATGAAAAACTGAAATACTTTGTTATTAAATGCCTCCTAGGCAAAGCCAGTATAGCAGTTTCTGTGTTCCAGACAGGGGTTTTGGCATGATCGCACTTCCAAATTCCCTTCTCCCTATGTAGACATTTTCAGCTCTAGCAGCTGTCCCATTCTCTGAACATCTTTGAAGTCCTGGAATTTTTTCACATTATCTGTGTTTGGCTAGCAAAATATTCCTAAGAATTTCTTCTCTCAATGTAATAATTTATTTGCCATAGATTTAGGAAGTAATCTCTCTACCCACATAAATATAAATACAAATAATGGAAATAATAATATTGTGGAACAGAAAATGGAATCCTTAGGTTTCAAAAATAAAATTACTTTCTATATCGCTGAGTGCTTTGAATATTATTGATATATATGTACTTGTTTATTTTAATTATTTATTTTACAATATTTATAACCCATTACCTCCCTAATGGGCTGTCCATATATGGATAGATAGATAAAGATAGAGATAGATGTATGTATCATAGTACAATATGTATATAAAGAATTTAAATCCGGGCATATATAATATAGGTTTAAAACAGTAGTTCCCAACCTTTTCTCTCCCCCACACCCCTAGGAAATGTTTGATTAATGTTCACACCCCCTACAAAAGTAATAATACATTTGAAGATGAAGAAGTCTAATTCTAATGCGGGTGAACAAATTGAACTTTAAAAAATAAGCTTTTAACTCAGCGCACAAAATTGTCGCACCCCCTGAAATTCCATCTCGCACCCCAGGTTGGGAACCCTTGGTTTAAATGAATAAGCAGTTGTTCAGGTCTACTGTAGAGAATTCTGCTGTTCCTCTTTCTTCTTTGTGAATTACCTAACTTTAGCATCTTTCAAGGCTGAAAGCTAAAAGTTCAAATCTAGAGAATCAGGAGAAGGAATATGTGTTTCAAATGTAGTGTGCAAGTGATAGAAAGTTATATTTAAACCCAGGTGCATGATATCTCAGATTGTTTTTTTAGTTGGGAAAGCCCCATTGCCTCAAATAATACCCAAGAATATGGTTTCTATAGTTCTCTTACAAAATTAATTCTAAATTTTATATATTAATGCTATATTAATTAATATTAATTAATTACTTCTGAAGAGACATGAAAAAGATTGTATTGCCAGAAACATAAATATTTCTACTCATAAATAGGCAGCTTATATAAATTAGCTTTACACAGGCTATCAGTAGACCTCACTACCCAACCACTCGTTCAGCAACTGTTCGAAACTGCAACAGTGTTGATTAGTGGTACTTACGACCAGTCCTTAAAATTCCGGTTGTCGCGCCACCCCTGCAGTCACATGATTACAATCTGGGTGCTTGGCAACTGGCTTGCACTTACAGTGGTTGCAGTGTCCCATGGTTATATGATCACCATTTGCAACTTTCCCTGCTGGCTTTCCACAAGCAAAGTCAATGGGGAAGCTGGCAGGGAAGATTGCAAATCACTTGGGTAAGTCTCCTCCACTTGGCAGCAGCCACCTCTGGGCCCAAAATCACTCGTATGCACCTCTGCGGCCACCCGTGCACACTCCCCCACCCAGCAACAGCCACCCCAGGCCTGAAATCACTCATATGCAGCACTGCAACCACCCGCAGACTCTCCCCCACCCGGGAGCAGCTACCCCCGGGCCCAAAATCACTCATACGTGCCACTGCAGCCAGTGGCACACCCTCCCCCGCCCAGCAGCAGACACACACCACTTGCCTGCCTGCCAGCCTGCTTGCGAGCCCCCTGGGACTTGAAACTTCCTGCTGGGTTCCCCACTGACTTTGGTTGTTAGAAGCCGCCAGGAAGTTGCAAGAATGTCCTCGCTTAACGGCCTATGATTCTCACTTTAACAACGGCAACGGGGACTGCCAGGATTGCCATTGCTAAGCAATGCAGTCACATGACATCACCCTTTATGACTGTATCACTTAGCAATGGAAATTCTAGTCTCAATTACCATTGTTAAGCAAGGACTACCGGTAATTGGGAGCTTTAGACAGGATGCATTTATTGTATTTATCTTAAAAGAAGGCTAATATTAATTATCCTTTAAATGGAATGGTAATCTTAGATTTGCTGAAAATATGATAATGAAGGCATTTTTTTTCTGTCTCATTTTCCACAGAGGGTGAGTTCCACTTCCTTTCAATTAAAAATTGTAACTTAAAAAAGTCATTTTAATATGTCAGAAAATAAGCCTCTTTTGAGCAAAGCACAGAAATAAGTTGAACAATTGTACAAAATTGTTCTGTTTTCACTGGAATATAACAATATTTTATATCTTAACAGTCAAAACTTGTGTATTCAAAATGGGTAAGGAAATGGTTGTATTAAACATAAGGAGCAAAAAGAAAAATCTGAAGCTGATAGTTTTACTTAAAAATGGTTTTCAACTATTTTTATTTGTTCTCACTTCTTTACCAATTTTTGGGTAATGGTATAGAATATGCTTCTCTGTATAATACCAGCAATATAGTATTTCATGTTGTTATATTTATTCAGACTATCATTCTCTTCTGCACAAGCTACAATATTAGTCTTATTAGCTCTTTGTAGTCAGTGTAGGGTCAATAATTTGAATAACTGCTAATGCAGTGCATCTATGTGATTGCCATGCATTCTGTACTCTATTTAGTTGAGATTGTTTAAATGTTGTCATCTATTAGATCTTTAGTGAGCATATATGTAAGGAAAGTTTAGACGTAGGGGCTCAGAGACATTGTCCCCAGTCTTTGTAAATGCTGTGACGTGCACACAGATGTATAGAAGATAAGCCTTGAAATAAGACACTTCGTTACTTTTTTATAATAAATTTTGTATCAAAAAGATTTAAAGTATTCAGTTATGTCTAAATAGTTACAAGACAGTTCAAAATATGGAATTTTTTGGGGGGTTCACATGTTAATTCTAGTTCTTAGAATAAAATATAGAATGTAGCATATTTTGGGTATAAGTTTTATTCTGAAAGGTTGATTGCCAAGGGACCTCATCCAGGATCATACAAATAACTGTTCAGGTGTATACTGTAGCTTTCTTCTCTATACATCCATGTATATTTTTACCTCTTCAAAACTGTTCCAGTGGATCCTTTAATCCCCTACAGATCTGAAGTGAGGCAAATTTAATCTACTAATAGTGTTCATTTTATTAGTACAAGGATCTCCAATCCTTTGGGTGATGGTGAAAATTTTCCAATTTTGAGAACATATTGTGTTCTTGTAAAATAGTTGCCACGGGAGACTTGTCCAGTTATGAACTATTGTTTTGCCATTTATCTCTAGCCCTCATTCTTTCAGGGTACTTCATACTATACTTGTTTTTTGGCTTTTTTCCTGAGTTAATGGGCACACTTCCAAACTGCCTACTGGTCTGCAATCCCCTTTTGCTTGCTTTTGAAGAAAGCTTTTCAACACATTGGGGGCATAGAGGCATTCTTACTTTCTTTTGCAGCATGTCTTCTGCAAATTTGTTCTTTTTTTTTTTTAAAAAAAAAGTAAAATCGCACATGAGGTAGGGAGCCAGGCAGGCACCAAGTGGAGTATCTGTAGACCCTGTAGAGTCCAGACACCATTGTTAGTAGGACACAATTGGGTTCAGTTTATTAAGATAACCAAACTGATGTAAAACTTAACATTTTATTATGTATAATAAAACTACTGGAATTATACTATTTTACAGACAGTTGTTGCATTAAAAAATAAACAGTGGCTGCAAATGGTAGTAATGTTAATCTGTAGCACCTGCAAATTACCATTGGACTGGGCTAGTTTTGGTGGTATGTACTTTAATAAATTCAGGCTATCTTCATTGATTCATAAAATCAAGTATGAAAATTTCCCACATACTTTTCCAGCATAATGGTTTGTGCTTGGATGCTCTCTTCTCAGTGGACTTAGTCTCTTTCTTGGTCATTTTTGTTGCTATTATTATTTTGTACTGCAACCTGGCATGTTGTTATACCATTTCTATATTTCAACTCTTACAGTAAGAAGGAAATGTAAAATGCTGAGAGGCCTGAATGAATGGACTGACATATAAGCCTCTGTTAATAAATGAATAATGACACAAATAAATTGGGGGAAGGCATGTTCAACTCTAACATCTGAATTATAAGAGAATGTTAGAGTTGGTTAGAGTTAATAGTCTTGTCTGGCTTATTTACACAAAATAAGGCAATTACTTGACTGCCTTTACTTAGTTCCTGAGCAGAACCAAAGAATTAAAACAGAAAAACTAGTTTAGGTTGATATTGCTCAGAACTGCAGATAGAGGTGTATGAGAAAAAGTAAGTGAAATAAATTGAAGTACAAAAACGCTTTACTGGCTGATAATAATATTATCTTGTTCTTTAAAACAGTTCTGAAACAGCCTTATGTCTGCTGTCAGTCAAATATAATAATAATTTTAAAAATCTTGAAGTCAGTTACCCAGTGAGAAAGAGATGTATTAACTTCAGGAATGAATGTGTACTTCTATCTCACATTAAATAGTAAAGATAAATTGATTTGGTTTTTTCCCTGCTTGCCCTCATCAATACACAGTTTTAATTTTATATTTCTGACTTTGCCATAATTCTGCAATAATAGTGTTTTCTGTGTGGAAATGTTTCCATCCCCATTTAATAATAGCTAAATAGGCTATACAGTCTTTCTTTCTTTCTTTCTTTCTTTCTTTCTTTCTTTCTTTCTTTCTTTCTTTCTTTCTTTCTTTCTCTCTTTTTCTTTTTCTTTTTTCTGCCTCCCTCCCTCCCTCCCTCCATTCAGATTTTATTCTTGGCATTTCCTTTATAATTTTTCTCTTTCACTTTTTAGCTTCTGATTCCTCCACATCTTCACCTCTCTCAAGGACAGAATCTCTTCTCCACCTGTTTATGTCTCCTCAGTCTCCTCACTCACCTCCCAAAACTGATTCCTTTGTCTGGCCCCATGCAGCCAGTCCATCCTGTGACCACGTTCCTGGGCCCTGCGAACCTCCATTCTGTAAACAGATTTCCTATTTCTGATAGGTGTTAGTTTGGTCTGTTTGTGCTTCTGATAATCTCCGTAACTGCTAAGCACAAATTGCACTGAAATTTGCAATTTGGTACAAGTACAACCTACATATTTCATATTTGACTTAAAAAAAAAAAAGACTTATCACTGAGGCATTTGAGAACATTGAATGGATTCGACTGGATAGCCTCTTAAATTAGCCTCCCCATCCAACAGACTACAAAGACTCATATAATGTTACTTTAATCCACTAGGGGGCTCTGTTGTCTTCCTGACAAGATAGAGCAAGTGTTGGTATGAGCCATTGCTCTGGCCAGTGGCACCTGCTAGCACAGCATTTCCAACAGTCTGTTTTATTAGGATTGGTTCTCAGAGCTAATGGCATGCAACAAGTTAAATTGTTGTGCCCATTACTGAAAACACTGCACCTAATTCCAACTGCTAGATCTGAGGGCCATTTTGCCAATAAATGTTTAGATAAAAAGATAAAATATTTCTGCTGTCACTCAAAACATGTAAAATATAAATATGGAAAAACTGGTATATTAGGGATTAAGACTTAAGGGATGCACCAGGACAAAACACAAGGAGTTACAATGGGAAGTCAGTTTTAAATTCGCTTGTTCCAAACGTGTCAGTTTTGTTTAATGCAATTGCAAGAGAAAGGCAGCATTGTTGCATTATTTTTTATGCTGCATCTCTTCGTAAGTGGAGTATCTCCTGTATGTTGTGGTAAGAACACGAAGGTTTCCATTAAATTTCATTTAAATGCTACATTTTTAGTAGCTTTACTATTTTATAGTTATTTGTTTGAAATGGTAAAACTGATTGCAAAATTAAATATAATTGGTAATTATTTTCATTTCTAGACAATTCATCCATGTTGTCCTGGCATGATTTGAGGATGAGCTATGTTAAATTGACTTAATCTGTTCATTTGAGTAAAGATGTGTCAGCAAATCATCTCTAGGATAGAAATAAAAGACAGGGGTTAGAAAATGGGTAACAGATGCACATAAATCAGGTTGTTGGATCTTTTTTCAAATAAACTTTGAACTATTAGTTTTTGTGCTTTTATATTAATGCTCTTTTTGTTCCCATTTGCCTGTTTAGGGCTGTTCACACATTTTGTTCTTCACCAAGTTTGCACTTCTAAGAGTTTTTGCTGCATTACATATAAGAAAACGTTAAACTAATATGGGAGAATTCTAACCATACCACTTGAGTCTGCAAGTCCAGAAATAAAATAGCACACCTGTAAGAATACTATGCTAGCCAATTTTCACCATGCTGGTTTGCTACATGCAGTGAGGGTTATTGTGTTCTGGTTTTTTTATGGGAAAACATTAAAAAAAAAGATTTCAGATTCTCTTCTCCAATCTAAAATGGTATAGTTCAGAATATTGTTATAATCTGTAATTTAAGAGCTATTTTTTTCAAAAGGATAAGCATCAGAAATGGGTTTCAGTGGATGAACAATTATATGTAAGAATTAATTAAGAATGTAATTTGAACCCTTCCAGGATTATTTATCCTGAAAGCTTAAGAAATTAAATTTGCTTTTATTTCAACGAATACTAACAGCTAAGAAATTTAGTAGATAGTTTCATTTAAAATATTAAATATGTAGAGGTGTGTAAAATGCTTCATATCTGAATTGTTCTGAATTCAAAAAGGGCCATTTCAAGTAATAAACAGTGCTTTCATGTTTAAAATCAACTGTTCTGTGTTTAAAACAAACAGTTTTGACCTATTTGGAAGTGAAGTTCCATAAGTGCAAAATAATTGTTTTGAACTCAGATGTCTTGCATATCACTATTGGGTACCAATACAGTATTATAAACTGCGGCCCAGATAGGATGAAATATTTTAATTTAGGGGAACCTATAATTCAGGGTCCTCCTGGAATAATGAAAAATTTAAGACACACTACATGTAGTCCTCAACTTACAACCACAGTAGGGACTGGAAAATTTGTCATTAAGTGGTGCAGTTGTTAAGTAAGGCATCACGTGACCACACCCGATTTTATGACCTTTTTGCCACAGTCGTTAAGAGAATCACCATGGTCGTTAAGCAAGACATCACGTGACTGCAACTTGTGACCTTCCCTGCCAGCTTCCCCATTGAGTTTGCTTGACGTTGCAACAGTCATAAGTGCAAGGACTGGTCATAAGTCACTTTTTTCAGCACCATCATAACTTCAAATAGTCGCTAATCAAATGGCTGTAAGTCAAGGACTACTTATAACATAGAAGTGAGCTGTGAATTTTCCACCTCCAATGAAATTCTCAGTAACCATGTGAATTCCCTGAAAAATGCCCTCTTAGTGTAAAAAATATATTAGTTTCTGTCTTGTCCTGAAAGTAGATTCTCATGCAGTTTTTGTAGCACAGCAAAGTGTTTCCTCTTTAAGGTGAGATGAATAAAAATAGTCCAAGTCCTCTCTAGCTTTCTGATCACTGTGTTAACTGTTTCTCTGTGTTACACTTGTATGTTAATATGGCCTGAAAATGGGTTAATAAATACTTTAATATCCTTATTAAAAATTTGTCTAATTTGAAGTCCGTATGTGCAATGTTCAATATCCTTTGGAAAACAAACTGGCTTACAGTTTGAAGGTTATCAGAAGTGTATTTGCATTTTGTGTAATTCTATTTTATAGCTGTTATTTTTTGTGATTTTAATTTGTGGTTTGATCTGTTGTTTAAAGGCAACCCTCCAGATGCTTACTTTCATGGTTTTTTCTCCCTTTTTTCAGTTTGTAAGTAGCATTTACTATACAGGTCTATTCTTAAATTTCTAAAGATTTAGTAGTAACACCCTCCCTTCACCACAGAATGTAAATGTTGTCCATTTGCCATGGAGGTTGACATCGTGCAAAGCAAGGCTGCTGCTCTAGACCCATTCAAGTTACCCTGAGGCTGTAATCCTATGAGATCTGAATGCACTCCCCTAGCACTTGGTTTCAGTTATTAAAGAGGCAGTATTAATTTCTGGAGGGCTCCAAACAGACATTTTGGAAAAAAGGGTTAATTTTTGCATATTCACTAATGTACTTTATAAGCAGCCGTATTTATGTATCATTGCAGTGACTTTTCCAGGTCAGTTTGATTATGTTCTAGCTCCTCAGCTAACAGAAATAGATGAATCTAGCAGAGAGAAAAAACCTACCCCGAAATTGAAAAATACAATTCTTTAGGAAAATTGTTTTTGTTTTGATACTTACAAGTACTCTGAAATCTTAATTATATTATTTATTAGCCATCTATGACTTCTTTTGATCCCATTCATTTATTATATTGAATTAGATTTTTGCCTATTAATTGTTGTGCTCTGTTAACCAAGGGAAATATTAATGTTTCATGTACCAACTTCATGGAACAAAATAATACTTGTAATTGATAGAACAGAAAGCCAAAGTTTCACTTTTGTGATAAACATTTCCCAAAACACTCAGAAGTATTTAATATATTGGGAGTGAGAGATGAATTGTGCAGTTGGAATAAAGTCATGTGAGATTTGTCCATATATACATGTATCTATTTTATCTAGTCCTGCAGAAGATACTGTCTCTTAGTCTAGACAGTGATTTGCTTGCACTGGCATACAGATCTCTGCATGCTCCACATTTTGGTGTTTTTACATGCTTTGAAGCCTGCTTTTTCTTTCTATTTTAATTTATGTGCATGTGAATTTTAATATGTTTTTACATTGCATGGTTTTGCTTAATTCCAGTTCTTTTCATCTTTTTAACTAAGATATCATTATCATGAAATTTAATTGAAAAGTAACTTTTCATCTTGTAGCGAGGAAAGAAAGACCCTCTGGAAATAGTGATAAACCCGTGTTAAAACAATGTTATTTCTCATAAACCATCAAGGACAGAGGCACAATAGAAGTGAAACTGTTCTCCCTCTTTTTTTTGTGCTTAGCTTAACTTTTCAAAACAAAACCGCCTGTCAAAATACATGCCTGCACAAATGCTGACAATTTCAGTAACCACCTTGTCACAGTGACAAGCTTCCTCTATTGTTTCTTCAAATTATGGCAGATGCTTGTTGGATTAAAGGATCGTAAAATTAAGCCATTCATTCTGATGCATGACCACATCCCAGGGAATGCAGTGGTAGCTCAGTAACAGTAATAATTTCTGGAATAGTTATAAAATGAAATGTTAAATAATGCCCAAGTATTATTCTCCAGCTTTTTCTTAATATCTGTGTTAAGGTGTAGAATAGAAGTTTAGCATTTGACATTCCTCAAGAATGGAGGAAATTTCCATAAATTTCCATCCAACAACTGCTTGTATGAAGCCAGTGTTAGTAAAGACTGTTCATTTAGTCTCTTCTCAAGATGTGAAATAATGTACTGTATATAAATATATGCATCTAGTAACACCAGACTGTCTGGATTATATAATCAGTCCTTAATTGGTTCCTTTCTGATCTTTCCTCTTTCATTACTGTAAATCTGCAAGAGAGGCCAGAAATATGGTTTTGGTTTTTGTTTACTTAGGAGAGCTCTTGAACATTCTTCATAGGTCCTGTGGCTTACCAGCTACTGATCCTCTTATATATTTAAATATATTGTATATATTTAAACATGCACATTTTCATTTGTCTTACATTTTGTAAAAACTTGCACAGATCTTCTAGTTGGCCAATTTTATATATACAGTAAGTTTGTCAAAAATAAAAGAATAGTATAGTATTGAAATAACAGTAGATATGCTGTATGTCAAGAATGTGTGATGAAAATGTTACAGAGAAATTGAAATTATACAATATACTAGTGTAAGTTGTAAATATAATATTCCTGATTTTTAAACAGTTAGTAATGAGTTGTGGGATAATACATTCAAGTCCCTTTAAAACAAATATTCCCATCTTCCTTCTCTTTCTTGTCTTAATTGTAATTAAGCATTATAACAATACCAATGGTGTAAAGGCTAACCAGGATTTAATTAATTAAGTTTTGAAGCTGGTCATGAAGAAATCTGATGATTTGAATTAATGTTGGTACTGGTATAATGTTCAAATGCTATTGAGCAGGAAGAATGTGTCAATTCCTCCCTCCCTCCCTCCCTCTCCTTTTCCAGTGGTCCCTATTCCAATATTTATGTTAACATACATGAAAAGCCTAAAGGACATAGTAACTAGGCTCCATAATGGCAGTGCTTAAGTGGAAAGCATTTTTTTACTCCCCAGCAGATACCCCTGCCTAAGAAGCTTTCAAGAGCCAGGAGACCTTCCAAAATACCATGCAGTAAGGGGGCAGCTTGTAGCAACTCACCACAGGAGAGGTGTCCCAAAAGTCATGAATGTGGCTGTAATCATACAGTCAAAGCCCTGCCCTTTTTTTACATGTGTTGCACATGCAAGGCATGTAAAGGGATGCAACCCCCTTCTTGACTTTTTTGATACCCTCTCTGCATGGACCTCCTTGTTAGGTAGAAAGGGCTTGAGTAAAACAAGATGATCAAGTCCTGAGAAACAGGCCATATAAGTACAGGTTTTAGATTAAAGCTATTGAACGTATGTGAGAAGTCCTCCCTCAGTGCTGGTCTCTAAGATTAATTCCTGACCACAATTATTAAAGTCAATTCTGTTGAAATAAATGTTGCTGACTTTCAAGTATACTTGTGTAAGATCAGGATGTTGGAGTATGAAACATATTTTAAAAGAAACTGAAAAGAATGTGTGAATATGAATGAAATTCCTTCAGTATCTCTTTGGAACCTGCACTCTTCAGTCTCAAATATTATGGACCTTCTCTGCCTTAAGTGATTGTATAGCAAGCAGAAACTGAGTAGATAATATTTTCCCCTACTACATGCAAGGAACAGTTTCAGCTGTTTAATTTCTGCTTATTACAAAATTGTTAAAATCACAAGATTCAAAAGCACTGCCATGACTGATTGTATGACTCAGACAAAAAAGCTAATAACTCCAACTAGATATATTCATCTATGGTGTCTAATAAAAAACTCTATCTGTAAACATATAACATTAGTTTGTGAAGAAAAATATAGATATAATTCAGTAGTATTCTAAAATTCCCATCAAGAAAACCAGAGAAGGTGATAAGATTGAGTGTCAGTTTATAGCTCAACAAAGGAGGAATTCATCTTTGTCTTCTTCTTGCAAATACTTTGCTTTTCATTTAAATTCTTTGGTAGCCTAAGCTTTTTTGGAATGTGCCTATGTATTATACATGTACAATCTGTTTAATAAGTGCCATGAGCATTTAAAGAGGTCTGTTATATAATTAGAAACTGCAGCAAAACTGCTACATTCTACATGCTTAGCATTATAATGAGAGCTATTTGGCACCATCTTGTGCATTGAAATATGATTAGTTATTTCAAAAAACTGAAAAAATGTTAACAAATGAGGCGATATCAAGAGCTAGTAGCTCTGAATCAGCTATTTTATTTACTCCAACTCATTTTGGATGAACTGTCCATTTTGTTCACTTTTCCAGCTGCTGGTGTTGCCGATAAGTGAACTTCATAATTTGTGCCACCTGATTTCTCTTAAAGAAATGTTGAGGCTATTCTCCATGTAATTTTTTTTTTAATCTTAATATACCCTTCAAATTATCCCTTTTGGGAAAAAAATTATGAAGACTTGCATTAAAAAGGAAGTAATAGAAATTCATCATATAATACCATCTCAAATCTCTTTGGTCCTTAGCATTTGTGTACTCAGAATTTACACACTTCCAGCTGACAGCTAAAACCTTTGTATTTCCCAATGGCTGCGCCAGTCTCATTTGTCATTTCCACTAGTAGCCTTTTAACACAGGTTCACCAACACTAACCTCCTAATCAATTTTTTTAAGAACGTCTTATAAATGCCCTGGAGTATAGATGTTTGGGATTTGATAAGTTTTACATTACACAGAGTTAAAATGAAGAACAGCTTGTGAGAGCTTATATCTTTGTCCCTTTCTCCTGAAATCAGTTATTTTTCATTACTTTCATAGGTTCGGTCCATGCAACATCAATAGCGGCCTCTAGAGTGGAGCAGGCACTATCAGAGGTTGCTTCATCTTTGCAGAGTAGTACTCCGAAGCAGGGTCCTCTGCATCCATGGATGACTCTGGCTCAGATCTGGCTTCATGCAGGTAATGGGATAGAGCAGCTGCTGCTGCTTCCTCATTAGCCCCAGGAAACCGTGTTCACCGCATTCAGCAAGCCAGGATGTTTTATTGGATGTCAGCATAAAAACACAGCTTTGAAGGATGCTTTTTCAGAATGTGGCAGTTTGATTCATTTGAAGACAACAACACGGTAATGCTTAATTTATGAAAGCTGTGATCTAAAAGAGGAGAACATTTAGTATATAACAAGCTTGTCAGAAGGTTGACTCCCCCTGCTTTTTCCCAACCACTGGACAGATGATGTTAAGGCATGGAAATGTAAGGTGTCACACTGCAAATTAGGTGTGACATTATTTTCATGAACTTTAAAATGGCATTATACTAGAAATGTGTAGTTGGGACAGGAAACAGCAGCTTTGGCAGAAAAGATAAATGCCATCTGAACAATGTGTCTTTTAAAGTGTTTTCTCAAAATGCAGAAGAGGATAAAAATAAACTAGTTTTGGGGAGAATTCTTTGGGAGGATATATATGTTTTATCCTGATAAATTAATATTTTAGTTGAGAATTTTAGGAAGATTTTCTGGTCTTATCTTAAAGCTTGGCTAACGTATGTTTATGTAGGTTTGATTGTTGCAGATGGGGGGAAAAACTGTTCTGTCCCATGAGAAATAGTCATGTATGTTCAAGAGCTCTAATGGTCTTCTTTCAAAAAATGATGCTATTTTTGATAAATATGTTAAAAGTAAAATGTAGTACTAATAAGCTAATACATGTTAGTTTTCTAAAAATAACTTTGTGAGGGAAAACAAAAGCAACCCCTGATTCACAAGTGAACTGGTACAGCTCAGGAGTAGATGATTCATCAGGTATCTGCTCTGTCTCAGGCAGACCCATCTATGCATGTTTACTTTATGCAGTTCATGTTTAGCTAATGTGAAATAATGGAGAGTGTAAAGCTAAGTAAGAGCTCCCATTAGTCCACTTTATATAATAATATTATTTCAAGGATTAAAGGAGGGGGAGCATTTATGCTTGTTTGAGCATCTTGAAGGAAGTAAAAATGCAAGAAGAAATAATATAGAAAGCTTTTATGAATTTTACTTCTGTATATATACCATGCATAAGAAAAAATATGGGCATTATGTTTTCATTTAATTCTTGTTTCCAAGTAGATGCTCAAATCTGCAGCATTCTTTTGTTTTTTGAACTACTATGTATGGAGGAAGATGCTGAATCCCAAATCTGAACTAGGATTTGGAAATTGGAAATATAAAATTGATTGATTGATTGATTGATTGATTTAGGAGACAACCAAGAGTGCTAAGTTATAAGTTACTAGTGCTGAGCCAAATACAAACATTTTGTATATATTATTACAAAGACTAGGCAGAAGGGTGAAACCTACTTATTATATAAGGAAAACTCTGGTGCCTAGAAGGGCCATGAGTATTTGGTACAAGTAGTCCCCAGTTCAAGAACAAGTTCTGTTCCCAAGGTCTATTCTTAAGTCAAATTTGTATGTAAACCGGAACAGTATTATTGTATAATACTGTATAAGTAGTATTGTATAATGAATTTGAACCATTGGGTATTTAACTCGAATCATTATGTATTTAACTCAAATTTTGCTACAATAGGCTCTGTTTTTAACTATGTGATAGGATATTTTTCCAGAGTGATAGGGCTTATAGGTAATGCCTTCTGTCAAAGTATTATCCCCACCACCACTGTGACAGCAAACTTACTTATACCTTTCCTGTGATGGCCATTATCAACTAGTTGCTGGGCATAGCTAATTATTTCTGAGAAGCTAAATGTATTGTCCTAGTAGTGCAGGCAATCCAGAATGTTTGATGAATTTTTCATGTGGAATAGCCATTTTATCTGTCTATAATCCTTGGAGACTTGAAGTTTATTTCAAGCCCAAGAAAAAGGTGTTCAGTCAGAGAAAGTATTTGTGTGTTAAGCTTGTATCATGCCTTTAACTTAATGGTGTTTTACAAAGTAAAAATAAAAACAGCGTAGAGACATCCATAAAACAATCTGTTAAATGTATTGCATGTTTAAAATGGATGTATCAAGTATGGCCAGCACTTGCGGAAATAAAAATACTTTGCTAGCTGGTGGCTGGAATATCTTCAGAAAGGAAGCTAGCTGGTGGCTGGAATATCTTCAGAAAGGAAGCTAGATGGGTCTTTCTGACTAGAGTAGCTGAGAAGACATCCTTCTTGTCAAGTTTCTACTATATTTTTATTTATTTGAATTATATTCTACTTTTTGTAAATAAGAGATAAAGGCAGTGTACATAGTGTTCCCTCCTCCTATTTTTTTCCCACAACAACAACCCTCTGAGGTAAGTTGGGCTGAAAGGGAGTAAGTGGCCCAGAGTCACCCAGTGAGCTTCCATGGGCAATGGTAAACTAAAACCTGAGTCTTCCTTCTCCCAGTATAACACCTTAATTTCAGTTGGCAGATCAGAATGAAGGCCCTCTGCTAAACTGCTTAAAATGTAGTATGGTTTGTGTGGAAGAGTACAGTCTAGTCAGTAGATGAAAACCAACTCTTGAATTATGCCCAGAAATAAATCCGTAAGTAGTGAAGCTTCTTCATCTATTAGGTGTTATAAATTTAAAATGATTTTGTGTGTATTAATTATTTTAGTAGATTCTGGATTTAAAGTTGATTTAATATATTCAAATTCATGTTGATCATGGGAGGAGTACAATTTAAAACATAAACTAGATTTATCAAAACTTACATATTTCTCTTTTGAAAAACCAATATTGTAACATGAATATATTTAAGAATCCATGTTGTACACGCTGTGATTTGTTTCCTTAGTTGAAACATAAAACGATTAGCGTATTTGATTTTCTAGCATATCATCTATTGATCAGTGTACTATTAAACAAGTGTTACTTTATTGGCATCAATTTAAGATAGCATGTTAACAATGTATATATGTAACAATAAAAATTCTATTACGTTTATTATCATTTAATGCTAAATTCTGCTGCCATTGTGCATAGTTTCAATAAAGAAGACAACCCAGGACAGATACTAAGATTGTCGTCGTCATCATCTTCATCATCATATACTAAACTTGTATGTCACCCAACTCCCAATGACTCTGGGCGGTTCACATGCAGTGACAGTGTTTTCTTTGCAGTAGACAATGTGATTCCTCTAAATTAGCTTTTCCCATTGTAGCCCTCCACTTTTGGGTATGTATATTGGTGAAGTCTGTTTCTGGACACCTAAACCTGCATATATATGGGTAATGTATATTCAAAAAGGCTCAGTGACTCAAAACAGCAAGTAGCTCTTCTTGGACCCCTTCTCATCCCTATCTAATTCTTCTTGCATCAACCTTGAATAAAGGAGAAGTGTGGTATACAGTAGTGGAAGTCATTAGATAGAAGAGGAGAGTTTAAGCTACTCATCCATGAAGCTCACTGGTTCGCCTTGAGCTGGTCACTAATATAGCTGCTAAGATTCTGGAGATGCAATAGTCAGAGAGAGGATTAACAGGAGTGGGATATCTATGTTCCACCCCCAGAAACCCTCAGTATTGTAACATTAAAATTCAGTGGTGAGCCGCCAAATTACAGTGGCTTAATTTTGGACCTTAAAAAGAGCAGTAAAACAAATGCATTAAATCTCCAATAGGCTTAACGTCCCTGATTTACTTTTAAAAAGCCCACATATATAAAAGGGTTATTTATGAACACTTCAGCCATGCCCTCTGCTATAGTGTCATAAAGTCATTGCTACATTCTATGAAATTCTGGGAGGAAAAAGAAGAATTCACTAAAAAGAAATTGAAGCATTCAGTTCTTTCAGGAGATCAGATTCTTTCAGGAGAAAGTAAGAAAGCTTATTTTCTCCAGCATTAACTCTCCTGAGTGCCTAAAAGAATAATCAGTTCCATGGAATATTCAGCTTGTTGCAGCACTGTATAAAATGAACATTTCCCAAAGGATTCAGAGAAGTAGACAGGAGATTCTATGCATATAATAAGCCCAGGAATTACTTTATTGACAGTCAATTTCTGTTGCACTGACCAGCAAGTAATACCTCATTGGCATTGCATCTTTGTCTGGTGTGAGCAACCAGGAAAGAAACAAACAGAAAGCCTTTCTGCAGAGAGGTAAAATGACAAATACCATTTAAAAAATATCCTTAAAAATATTTTTTAAAGTACTGAACTTTCTTTGATATACTAGATTCCATTTAAAAAAAATACCCCATGACGAGTTCCATCTCATCTATTGCTCAGTTAGAAATATATGTTGCTTTTCTGTCACATTTTATCTTGTGGCATGCTGACTTTGAAAGTTTCTTCATGTTTCACCACATATTTTAAGATACAGTCATAGTCAATGCTAAATTACATAGAACATGAGATCTATACTTTATTTTCCAAACATTTAATATTTACTTTAAAGCAAAATTTGATAGAAGTAGTGGCATCAGACTAGACGGGAGTTCATATGGTATTCCAGATATACAGTGGTACCTCGGTTCACGAACTTAATTCGTTCCACGACTCTGGTCACGAACCAAATTGGTCACGAACTGAATCAAATTTTCCCATAAGGTTCAATGTAAATACGGTTAATCTGTTCTGAACCATATGTATTTTTTTTTTTAAACCACAAAAATATGAAACAAAGTACAGTACAGTACAGTACAGTATGAAGAGAGAGAACACTAACCTTGCTTGAGGCGACTTCTGGCGTGGAGGACAGGAAGTCGGGTGGGGAGGCAGTTATTCTTTGGAGGGAGAGTCCCCCTCCAAAAGGACATCGGGAAGATCTCCTTCAGGGGTTTCCTCTCTTCTTTGTCTCTTAGCTGCAGGCTGAGTTTTGGCGAAAAACGCTTTGGATCCTACTGTACTGGACAATTTTCGTCCAGTCTCCCACCTCCCCTTTTGGGGGAAGGTGGTTGAGAAAGTGGTGGCATCACAGCTCCAAAGGGTTCTGGAGGAAACGGATTATCTGGATCCCTTCCAGTCGCGTTTCAGGCCCGGATATGGAATGGAAATGGCATTGGTCGCACTTATGGATGACCTCTGGTGGGAGGGGGATGGTGGAAGTGCAACCATCCTTGCTCTCCTCGATCTCTCAGCAGCTTTCAATACCGTCAACCACAGTATCCTGTTGGGACGGCTCAGGGAATTGGGGGTGGGCAGCACGGTCTTGTGCTGGTTCGCCTCCTTTCTCTGGGGCCAATCCCAATCGGTGGTGATAGGGAGCAAGAGGTCCCATCCTCGGCCCCTCCTTTGTGGGGTGCCGCAGCGTTCAGTTCTCTCTCTGTTCCTTTTCAACATCTACATGAAACCGCTGGGCGAGATCATCCGTCATCATGGGGTGAGGTA